TTGGAAAATTTGATACATTATACAATCAATAAGTATTTATTTCTTTTCTTGTAATTCTTCTAATATTAGAACTGTTAACTTAAAAGTATCAAATTGCAACGAATTGATACCAAAAATGTGGATTTAATCATAAATTGATCACAATTTTTGGTATCAATTCGATCCACTTTGGTATCAATTTGATAGTTTTAGTTTGGAAATATTATGAAGTTTTTCTAAGGATATCAAATTGAGACAAAAAACGGATCAAAAGTGTTGCGAAACAACATTTTGATTCGTTTTTTGTCTCAATTTGAAATTCTTAGAAAAACTGGTGTATATGTATGTACATTTAGAGAACTGCGGTGACGACGGGTAAATTGAGTTTTAGTAAAATATTATATTATTATATATTATATAATTCATTAATGAATTATAGTTTGAAAATATTTTCAATGAATAACATTTTGAAAATATTTTCAATTAATATTTTGAAAACATTTTCTTTTAATATTTTGAAAAAAGTTTTCTTCTGCACTTATCGTCGCGCATAAAAATGGAAAAATAAAAAAAAAGTATAAAGTCTCTTAGCCTGTTGCCTGACATAGGAAATATTTCTGAAATTGTATACTTTTTGTGCAGTATATGCGTATATGAGAGAAAAAAATTTTTAAGGAAAAATTTTACCCACAAACACAGAGAATATTGTCAATAAATCATCAGCGAAGCAATAATTTCGACCAGAAGGGACTTTGTCAGGTCCTCTAGTCGCATGGCCTCCGACTTTTCGTGAGGATTCACAACCTTAAAGTTGAGTTTATTATCTGTTTTATGACTGTGTCCATTCTTGTGAGATTAGACTATGTTTTCGCTAAAGTTAAATTTACCGGCACTCTCCAGGTTTGTCGAGAATATTCTATAGAAATGATTTAAGAGATTGGTGAAGATAGACTTTTACTTTTATAATTTACACGAGATTTCTTGTTGCTGAAATTTTATAACCCTTTTTCTCTCTCCAAAAGTCACTGTTTGCAGTGTGTAACTGTGATTTTAAAGTTCTGTTAAAGGTATACTGGATTCCTTTTTTTGGTTTTTGCTTTAAAAGCAAAAGGTCCAGACGTTATAGAAAAATTTTATTTGTCCAAGGGCCTACTAATTTTTATTTATTTGGTTTAAATGGAAATTTTATTCCGGACAAATAAAATTTTTACTTGAACCAAGTAAAATTTGTTTCAAATAAATTTTACTTGGTTCAAGTAAAAATTACCTCTGAGTCGAATATATATCTTTTAATTATGAACAAAAAGTTTTGAACGTTCAAATAAACGAAATATTTTTAATTAAAAATATTTTCATAGATTAATAAATACAATAAAAATTATAATACTCAAGTTTTACAATTAGAAACTTTATAATTAACTTGTTTGATAGTGACGCAAAAATTATAGTAATAAAAATTTAATTTGAAGGCGAAATAAATAAATAGACAAATAATTAAATTTATTTAAATCAAATAAATTTCATATTGTTGTTAATTTTACACCCAGAGAAATATTTACTTGAGTGAAACCTAATACTAAACTTGAAAATGAATTAAGATTTTTTTTCTTGTACACCCAGAAAAAAGATATATTTGACTGAAGCCAACTAGACTTTTTTAATTTTTGTTTCACTTTCAAATAAATTTTATTTGGTTTAAATACAATTTTTATTTATGTTGAATAAAATTTTTACTCAAAACAAGTAAATAATTTAGTAGGCACTGAGACAAATATGCACACAAAGAAAATTCTTATTTAAACCAAATATAATTTATTAAAGTTAAATAAAAATATATTTGTTTCAGTCTTTCAGAGCCTACTAAATTATTTATTTGTTTTAAATAATAATTTTATTCGATGTAAATAAAACTTTTACTTCAACCAAATAAAATTTAATTTAACACAAATTAAATTGTATTTGAACTAAATAAAATTTTATTTAAAGCAAATAAAATTGTATTCAAACCAAATAAAATTTATTTACAAAAAATAAAAGTCTAGTTGGCTCTGAGACAAATATTCTTTTATTTAACTCAAATAAATTATATTTAACTTAAATAAAATTTTTCTCTGGGTGTATAAGTTCTGAATAATGTTGAAACGCGAACGAAACTTATTTATTTTTTCTTCGAATAATATTTGCGTTACGTATAAATAATAAATTATAAAGATTTTAAAGGTTTAATTTTTTCATTGCTTTTTATAGCAATCAGTAATTTTTGAAAATATATTTTGTCAAAAAATTTCGTTCATTTGCGAACCATGAGAATTTTTGAATCGTAAAATTTTAATTGATTCAGATTTAGGGAGTAATTTTTGCGACAAAAGTTAAAAACATTTTTACTAATTCGAATTTAGAGAGTATTTGATTCAAATGCAATTTGTTTTCAATAATAATTCAAGAACAATTTAAACAATTTAAACAATTTTTTAGTTTAGTCCTTTCAAAGTGAGATAATTTTAACTCCAGACTAGCAATTTTCTGTTTTCAATTATTATTTAGTGCATAGCGTACTTGTCGTAGACAATTTTTTCTCCTTTTATTTTATATAGATTTTCATTTTTTCCTTCTGCTCGTGAATGAATGTACATAGGGTACAATGAAACATGTCACGTATTCATTACACTTTTAGGGAGAGAATATGTATTATTTACGTTTTCATTTTGATGAATCTATTGAAAGAGTCTATTTAGGGGACGTTTTTTCTTTTACTTTTTTTTTCTTTCTGTCTCTTTTTTTTCTTTTTCTTTTTTTTTGAAGAGGACGTCGTAACACGCTTTCAGGGGTGACATTCTCCGCCTCGTGCAAAACGCTATTGGTCCAGAGAAAACTCCAATCCCATGGATACATTCTCTTTCGTGTGCTTGACACACGAACGGTGGTGGAAATCCACTTCACATGCGTACATAAATCCGTGTATATGAGAATATATGCATTTGTGTGCTTTGTAATCCTTTACCTTAGTTTCTTTTTGTTGACATTGTTGTAAAAAAATTCTATTTAATTAGGACGAAGGAATTAGGAATTAGATTCTATTTTGAAGAATTTAATTTTTTAAATTGGTGCTTTTTATTCTGACAAGCGTCTTGTCTGAATTAGTTATTTTCTACTAATAATTAGTCACATTTGACTATTTTTTTTACCAACAATTAGTTATTTCTACTAATAATAATTAGTTATTTTCTACTAATAATTAGTCACATTTGACTATTTTTTTTACCAACAATTAGTTATTTTCTACTAATAATTCGTTATTTTCTATTAACAATTAGTTATTTTTTTACTAATTGCTGCATAAAATAATTAGCTCAAATTTTACTAACAATTACACGGAAAAAAATTTTTACATAACTACAAATTTCACTATATTATCGCCAAATTTGGAATTGCTTCAATTAATACTTTTGATATTCTAGAGAAATTTATCGCTGTTCCAGGTAAAATTTTTATTCCGTTTAGTTATTTTTTACTATGGCTGCAGCAAAAAAAATTAATAAAAATTTTTTTTATTAAAAAAAGATTTTAATAAAAATTAATCGTTTTAATTAGACATTAAATAAGCCAATTTAATTACTTAGTCAAAATTAAATTCATACGATCAACCACCTTTTAACTCTTAAAAACTTGTGATTTTTATGAAAATTTATTTTCACTTCTTTTGGGAAGCTAAATAAATTTTTTCTTATTTTATACGCCATCTTGGTTACGCCATTTTGGATTTTTAAAAATTGAATGCGAATTAATATTTATAGTTACTCAAAAATTTCCGTTACTTTAAGTCTTTTTTTTTTTTTTAATTGCATCTGTTCGCTGAAGTTCGCGGAATTTTTATATAATTTTTGGCAATTTTTGCCTAAACTTTTAGATTATTTTTTACGTTAAAAAATTATTTAATGCGTTGGTATAGAAATAGTTAAATTGTTAAGAATAAAATTAATAGTTTATTTAAAGAGTAATCTTGAAGGAAAATAGTGTTATAATTTATTATAAAAAATTGGATTATAAATACATTAAAATTTTTTATTTGATTCTAATAATAAATAAATACATAAATAATAAATAGAATAGCTAAGTATTCACCTGTTAATATTATCAAATAAATAATATTTGCTTGAATTAAATAATTTTTATTTAAATCAAATAAATTGCTTTGATCGAATAATTTTAGTATTTCAAGCAAATTTCATTTAATTGACTTAAATAAAAATTGTTTTGCTACAAATAAATATTTATTATTTACAAATAAATATTTATTTGATACAAATAAATATTTTTGTGATACAAATAAATATTTTTTTGATACAAATAAATATTTTTTTAAGAATAGTCAAGTAATCGTTTACTTGAAAAAGATAAATTCTCTTTTAGCTTAGAAATAATATTTTAATTATAAAAAAAACTTAAAATTTGTTCTTTGGAGAATAATTTTCTGAAAAAAAACCTGAAAATTAAAACTGTTTTCTAATAAAGAAAATTCTGTTTAAAAAAAAATGTAAAGAGGAATTAAGTGAAAAATTACTTTTAATTGGAGAATTTTTTTATTTTATTAAATTATGATCTTATTTTCAGAAAATTGTCGTATTAAAATAAAATACCTTAATTTATGACAATTTAGTATTACAATAAGACTCTTGTATTTTATTTGCAATACAATTTTTTGTGGATTATTATTATAATAATATTGTAATTTAATGTTTAAAATTATATTTAATTAAAGTAATTAATTATAATTATGTTAGAATAATAATAAAATAATGAAATCTTATTCTATAATAAGATGTTAATATTTCGAATTAACAAATTCAAATAAATTGGTATAAATATAAATTTAAAATAAAATAACTGAGAATAAATTGGATTAGAAATTTAAAAAAAATGTATCAATTTATTCTTATAAGTTTAGAATATTTTTGACCGTCTATTTATGCGAGTTTTTACGTAAAATCGATTCTCCTGGTTGCCAGAGAGACACACAACAGGACAGTGCGCGTACATCGAATAAACAGTGCAGATTTAATCAAAGTGAATTTCATATTGACACGATGCCGACTAGTGCAACAAAATTTTCTAAACGTGAAATTATTCCCGTTGGATATGAGGAAGCTTATCAGTTTCATCGTATTAAGGTAAGTAGAATATATTTTAATTTCTTGTACGCATCTTAGGAAACATTAAATTCAATAAACGTTAAATGAAACAAAATTTTTTATATATTTTATTTTTTTATATTTTTTTTTATTTTATGTATTTTATTTGAATTAAATAAACGTATATTTGTCTCAGAACCAACTAGACTTTTTATTTGTTTCAAATAAATTTTATTTGGTTTAAATATAAAATTTTCTTTGGCTCGAATATATTTGAGCCAAATAAAATTTTATTTAAACCAAATAAAATTTATTCGAATCAAATAAAAAGTCTATAGTTGGTCCTGAGACAAATATACCCATTTCTCTGGGTATAAATAAAAAATAGTATCAAATGTGTTTGTCACTTTTTATACTATTTATTTTTATTTCTAAATTCAGTCCGAGGTCTGAACAAAAATAAATTATACTTCATTCAAATAAAATTTATCTTTAGGTGAAATAATAATTTTGTTGCTATAATTAATAAAGTATTTTTTTTATACAGGTGCGGCTTGCAACTCCAACAGTGAATATGAATCCTCCCAAAAAACGGCCACACATTTTATTCGATGCAAAAAAATTGCAACTGGAACGTGAAAGACAGGCTCGTATTGTTCGAGAAAATTTTATTTTACTTCAGAAACTCCAAAGTATAATGTATGGTAATGCAAGAAAAAAGTATCCACTGACTCAGAAAAAATCCGCCTGCATAAGAACTCGTTGAGTAGATTTTTATACACGTTGATATGAAAAAGAATAACTTTCGGGAAAATAATTTATAAAATTTATTATATTTGTACTTTTATATAACGATGGTGATGATAATAATCAAAATTAGTAATATAATTATTGCTAATACTAATTGGTAATAATTTTAAAAGTAATAATTTGTAATAACTTTACTAATAATAATTTTTAATAACTTTACTAATAATAATTTATTGTAATAATTTTACAAATAATAATTTGTAATAACTTTACTGATAATAATTTATAATAATTATTACTGATAATAATTTCTAACGTTTCTAAATTATAAAGCGTGGTGTGAAAAAGTGTGAAATTATATTTTCCACTCAATAAACAATTTTACTTACTAAACAATAAGGTTAGAGCTTTAATTTCCTGTTATATAAAACGTTACGAAATTTCTAATTTTCAAAGAAAATTGTCAATGTTGATAAGATCAATTTTTAGAAGTTTGATTCTTGAGATTTTATCTGATATGAATTAAGAGAATTATTATTAATTTTGTGAAAAGGAGAATTGCATTTTGTTGATTAATAAAATAAACTTCAATTAAAATTTTTAAAAAGTCAACTTAAAAGGAATAAATTTAAATTAAAAGAATAAATTTTAATAGAAAAAACAAATTTAAATTGAAAGAATAGATTTTAATAGAAAAAATAAATTAAAATTAAAATATAAATTTTAATAAAAAAGTAAATTCAAATTAAATAAAAATAAAAGTCAATAAAAAAATTAATTTTTAATTAATAAACATTTCTTTTATCATGAAATGGTAAATGATATTTTTATTATTTTAAATTAGTAGTTGCTTTACTAGCCGCTAGAAAGCAGCACGAACTTGTGACTGTGTAAATCGATTTTTCCCACTATGTCGGTAAAACATTTCTCTGACGTGACAAATTTCTTTGCCAGTAATCGTAATTATTAAATGCAACAAAGTTTTTGGGATAATTAATTACCATTGAACTTTATTGTTTTGTTATTAATATTCTGATATTTGTTTTTATAAAATTATTCTTATAATTGAAAATTTTTACATTTTTTCGCATCGAGCGCCTAAAATACGACAAACCTATTTACACGCCTGTATCCCTGCAGTCGGGGATTTTTTTTCTTTATCTTAATGCAAAAATTAAAGATTAAAAAAAGTAATGAAGTACTAATAGAAATTAGTGAAGATAATGCAAAAAAGATCATGTAAATTATCATAATTATAAAAGCAGTATTAAAAAATAAAAAAAGAATAGAAGAAATAGTAATTATAAATGAATAAATAAATATATTTATTTACTTAATTATTTTATTTATTTATATTATTATTTATTATTATTATTATTATTATTATTATTATTATTATTTATATTATTATTATTTATATTATTATTATTATTATTATTATTACCTATTATTATTATTAGTATTATTATTTTTTTACTATTTTTTTTTAGTTATTTTTAGTTATTTATTAATGAATTTATCCTTAATTTAATTAATTCATTGAATTTTTAACAAACTATTTAAATATAAAAAATAGAAATATAAGAAATTTAAAAAAGACCTGATTGTCTAAATTGAACAAAAGAGAATAATAAAACAGTAAAGAAATAAAAATTGTGGAGTATAGATTTTTTTTGATAAAACTGGATATTTGTATTTTATTAATTTATTGAAAGTATATTTTCAGTTTATTTAACATTAATTTTTTTATACTTATTTTATACTTATATTTATATTTTTATTTATAGTTTTTATTTTTATTTATATTGACAGTTATATTTTTAGTTTTATTTATACTTATAATTATTTACCTATTTATAATCAAAATTTCTCCTGATTTCGCGATTAAGACGAAAAGTTAATTTTAGAATTATTCTTGTCATTATGAAGAAGATTGTATCCGGAATTAAAGTTGTATATTGACAAGTGACATTAATAAGATAAATTGTCAAACTTTTTATAAATACGCTTTCTCACTCTCTCGCAGTTATTTTATCAACATTGACCAATATTTGATTATGAATTGTTTTTTTTCTACACGCATTCTCATCAGATGAGAGAGAGAGTATTATTTTTTTATTTAGGAATCTGTTTTGCAGAAAATTTTTTTTCTTTTTCCACATTTCTACGTCATTTTCTCAAATATAAAAGGAATTCCTTGGTTATAATAGCGAAACAAAAAAATGTACTATGCGTTGTAAATGTAAGTTTGAAGTAATTTTTTATCAGTTAATTGTTGATTATTATCCGAGTTGATAAGATAGAATATATAAAAGAAAGGGACATCTCAAAGAATAGCCTTATTTGTTAATTGTTAGCCTATTAATGTGTTTATAATATTTGCAACTATGAAGTCCGCATTATTTTTATTATTTTTAGTCTCGGTTTCTCTTCAAGTAAGTGTAAAAATAGAAATTTGTTTTTCAATTTAGATTTTTTTTTTATTTTTATTAAAAATGGGAAATTATTTTAGCGTGGGTTTGATAATTTTTTGTACAATAAATAATTATGTTATATTATTTTTAATCTCAGTTTCTCTTCAAGTAAGTGTAAAAATAGAAATTAATTTTTTTTTGTTATCTTTATTAAATAAGTAGGAAATTATTTTAGAGTAGTTTTTAATTTTTTTAAATTTTTTTATATGGTAATTATGTTATATTATTTTTAGTTTCAGTTTCTCTTGAAGTAAATAAAAAATAGAAATTAATTTTTTAGAATTAATTTTTTGTTTTTTTTATTATAAATAACAAATTATTTCAATGTGTAGTTTTTAATTTTTTAATACAATAAATAATTGTTATAATATTTTTACTCTCAGCTTCTCTTCAAGTATGAAAAAAACAGATGTTTTTCAATTTTTTTTATTTTTATTGTGAATAGGAAATTTTTTTAATGATGCTTTTATATTTTTTTGTACAATAAATAATTATACTATTTTTAGTCTTATCTTCTCTTGAAGCAAGTGAAGAAATAGAATTTATTTTTTGAATTTGAATTTAATCTTTTTACTTTTATTATAAATAGCAAATTAATTTTATTCCATTTTTGATATTTTTTTTCTATAATAAATTATTTTTAGTCTTAGTTTCTCTTCAAGTAAGTAAAAAATTAGAAATTAGTTTTTGAACAAGAATTTTTAAAATTTTGTTTGAATTTTTTATTATCAGTAGTAAATTAATTAAATTTATTTTTTTTATTTTTTTTGTTTAATTGTATTTTTTATATAACAAAAAATTATTGGTGAATAATTATTAAATAGAATAATTAATTGGATAATTGACATTTCCAGGTGGATTTTGCTTTAAGTACAGTGGAATCTAGAATAGAACAATTAAACGAATTGTGGTACAGGGCACATATTATTTTTAAAAATGTGAAAGAATTCAAAGAAATTGAGGTGGACTCCAGAAGAGATAAGATCAATAATCAGACAATATATTTACTCGAAGAAGTTACAAGTTTAACACAAACGACACATAAACAAATCGAGGTAACAATTTCTGTGAAAGATTTTAATTATTTTCGGTGAGATTGCTTCTATTAGAATTAAAAAAAAAAAATAGTAGAAAAATTAAATTTCGATTTCGATAGTAAAATAAAGTGATTTAAAATCAGGAACAAAATCTATTTTTTATAAAAAAATTAAATCTAAAAAATTGAATAGAATAAATAAAAAAAATCAAATTTAAAAAATTTAAATTTAAAAAAGCGAAAGAGCTCGGCTGGTTTATTTGTTAAATAAATGAAAAATGTAATTTTTTATACAAACTGTATTTTATTCCTGATGAATTTTATAGAATTATTTATATGAATTTTGCTGAATTGTACAGAATTTACGGAATTTTTCGTGTTATCAGGAAGAGGCCGATACATATGCAGCTGAAGATGAAAATATAGATGTAGATTTGTGTTTAGATGCCGCTGTTGATCAATTAAAATACGTAATTGTTTATGATTGCGGTTCCTTTGGAACTTGTCGCAATCGTTCCGAAGTGGAAATAAAAACGATTATTAAAGAATTGATTCAATATATAAAGGTATTGACGTATTTTTTATATTCTTTTATTATTTTTTTAATATAATAATATTAGTTTATAAATTTTGTTCTACTGTACATTTTCTTTTTTTTTCGTATTAATTTTTTGTTTCGTCATTTATTTTTAATTCACAATAAATTAACAGGTGATTTTTTTTATTTGTATTTCTTGTATTTATTTTTATTTATTTTCACATTCAATTATTTATTTTTTTTATTATTATTTGTAAAAGAATAGCAAAATTTTTATTTTTTTGTTATTTGTATTTATTTTTTAGTTTTAATTTATATTTTTATTCTTATTTCATAAATAAATTAAATAAAAATGAATTTATTTTAAGAAAATTAAATGAAAATAAATTTACTTAATTAATTAATGACATAATTTTTGTTTGGTTATTTATTTTAAATTAATAATTAATTCACAGGTGATGGAGGAGACGAAAAGAACTATAATTTACGTGAGAGATGTCGCTTGTCAAAATCTCACTGGTTACGCGCAAGAATTATGTTTATATTGTCGAATTCCACAAATTGAAGTGCAAGTGGTGACATATGAGAAGAAAGTGCAAAGATTCACAAAGAGAGTGTTAACAATTATTGAGCAAATCGTTCAAAGTGTTAATAAATGTCTCAATGATTCGAGCGAAAAAGCTAAAGATAATATCAATAATATTGTAACGGAAACGAAAGAATGTTTCGCTCAACTCTGTAATAATTCCACGACAACAGCACAACCGCCAACAACAACAACAACGGAAGTACCAACATTGGAACCAACAACAGAAGAACCTACAACAGTAGCTCCAAAAAAACCATAAATTTATAAAAAAAAAATCTAAAACAAATCTGAAAGAAATAAAAATAAATTCTAAATAGAAAAATAGAAATGAAAATATTGAAATTAGAAGAAATGTGATTTTTTTAAAACTGTAGTTTTTATTTTTTTAATGTAGTTGATAAATATTTTGAAATATTTTGAAAATGTTGGTTAAATTCAAAGAACAGTGAAATATTTTTGTTATCTTGAAGGAAAATTTAGTATCTGTTGAGAAAAATTTTTTCTTCCTTTCGAAGAATATTTTCCCGATCGAGAAATGTAAAACGATGTTTTATTTGTAATGAATGAAAATAATTTTCGATTCAAGAAAAAATTTCGGCGAAATAGAAAAATAATGTTTTCTGAAATTAAAATAAAATGATCTGTAATTAAAATTGAATTTTCTAAAAATAAAATAAAATTTTCTCAAATTAAAGTTAAATTTTCTCAAATTAAAATTAAATTTTCTAAATTAGAAATAATTTTTCTAAACTTGAAATAATCTATCTAAATTAAAAATAATTTTTCGAAATTTAAAATAATTTTTCGAAATTTAAAATAAAATTGTCTAAAATTAAAATAAAATCGCAGTCGTTCTTTGAATTAATGATAATTTTATATACGTGTGATTTATATATTTGCATCGTAAGAATAAAACTTAGGACTTAAATTATTTTTCGGAAATTTATTTCCTGACTGCATTATCGAAAAAAAAGACGAAAAAGAAATGATTTAACGAACTGAAATTAATACACTTCCCTGATTCTTTATCTCTAATTAAATGATAATTTTTATCTTGTAAATCATCATTGAAAAATATTATCAATATGATAAGGTATATGGCAATGGGAGCTAAAGCCAATAAATCCGTATGCAAGGTAAATATTTCCTTTTTCTTTCTTTTTCTTCTTGTTGCATTAAATCGATTTGTTATTTTCTCGCAGCTATTTAAAAAGCGAATTCCTTCATTGAAACCTTGTGTATGAAAATGAAATTAACAATGATTTTATTTCATTGTAAACAGCTGATATAAAAACATGTTTATAACTGAATAAAATTACTCATCGGGTATATAATTATGTTATAATCCTTATTATAGTAATTTTTTATTGAAAATAATTTGCTCGAATCAAAGTCGGTATTATTCCATAAGCGGTATAATAATTAATTGTTATAAATACAATTAATAGAGAATATAGAAATAAAGTTGAAATTATTGTTTTTATTTGCTGTGACCTGTTTTTGTAATTTGATTAAATAATTCTTTTAATATTTAATCCTTTTAATCCCAAAAAAAATAATTTTTTTGGAAAAAACCTTGAAATTCTTTTAATAATTTAATTATTAAATTATTTAATATTATTTAATAATTTATTATTAGAATAATTATTTAATTTTAGAATTATTATTAACTAATTAATTCACAGAAAAACAATCCTCGCTGATAAACATTTTATCATTTATATTTAGGATAAAACAAATTTTTAAAATAAATTTTAAACAAAAAATAGAAAGTTTATAATACAAAAATAAATGTTAAATAAGTTAGAAAATATTTTTCTTTTTGGAAGGTTGTGTTAAAATTATTTATTTATTAATTTCATTAGATTCTCTATGTGTCTGTATGCAGTATGGAGGAAAAAATTATTGTAATTAAATGTTTATTCTAATTTATTTATGACTGTTTTATTATATTATTTATTTAAATTTATTTAGATTTGAAATTAAAATTATAAAATGACATGAATTGAATTAAATTGAATTATTATTTGAATTTAGTAAATTAGAGTAAAATAAAGTAAACAAAAAATAAAAATAACAAATAAAATTAATTTAATTAGAGTGAATAAAGAAGGAAAATTAAAATTGTAAAATAAAATTAATTCAATTAAAGTAAAGGAAAATAATGTAAATAAATAGAATCAAATTAATAAAATAAAATCAATTAAATTAGAGTAAATACATCAATAAAATTAAAATATCAAAATTAAATAAAATAAAATTATTTACATTGAAATATATTTGCATTGAATTTATTCATAACTATTAATGATACTTTTTTGTCAATGCGACAGAGATAAATATAGATCTCAAAAGGAGAAAGTCTTTTTATAAACACGTGACATTAAAATCATAAAAATGCAAGTGTATTGGAGTGAAAAACTGTTATTTTAATTTATAATCGTAAACTGATTTTCATAGCGCCTTTTTGTTGTAAATAACGATAAAAATTAAAATGTTTAAAATTCTAATTTCATATATATATGTATACATAATGAAGAATTTTACAAAAAAAGGGACAATTAACTTAGATTTATTCCTCACTTGCATGTAATTTTTGTTTCTCTAATAATATATAAATGTAAGTAAAGTTTTTTTTTTAGAATATATCTTTTTTTTTAAATAATATTCATGATTGGCTGTGCAATTAACATTATGTAAATTGACTTTTTTTCCTCCGTTGAATGGAATAATAAAGATTTCATAAATTACAAACTCTATGACACAAAATCTAGTTTCTGCTTTACAATGTTTAGAGAAAATTATCATAAATTTATAATTCCTTCAACATCTCCTTCATAATAATTGTCACTTTTGTTACATTTTATTGTTATTAATTGGTGAGAATGTCATAAATGCGTTAATGAAAAAAAAACTTCACGAGAGAGTTGTAAATTAATTTTAGAATTCATGTAATTTTGTTTTTTTAAACTTTTTATATAAGGTTCTTAATTCTTTTTGTTTACTGTTTTGTATTTGTTTGCATAATATTTATATAATTATGTTTAACAATAAAAATGTATTATATGTTATTATACCATAATTATATTATAATACTAATTTATTATTATGATTTATTTATTTATTTATAATTATTTAAAGTATTATTATAGTTAAAGTAAATAAATAAATAAAATAATTTAAATTAATTGATAAATGCTTTACATCTTAATTAATTTAAATTAATTATAATAATTGTTTAAATCTTTAAATATGTGAAATTGGTTAAATTATTTTTTACAATTGCTTTAATTATTTAAATCAAAAATATATTTAAGTATTCATTTAGAAAAAATAATCCATATTCTTTTTCAGTTTAACAGTTCATATTAACTGTAATATTAATTTATAAATAATTAAATATATTTGATAATATTTTATTTTAATATTAGTGATATATTTAGGCTTGGGAGGGGGGTAAGCAAAGTATCACGCTGTAATCAAATTTGCTGTACTAAACTATAGAATAAGTATCACACAGGGGGGAGGGGGTCTAAATACTTAAAATATCTATCACGTAATACGTGAATGACTTCTTATAAATGGGACAAGCCCGTTGAAACTTGAAATAAATATAAACCATTATTAAATTTAATAATAATTACTTATGAAATTTATTTGAAAAATATTGAAACAATTTAAAATATCTAGATTATTTTTTCCAATCGAATAATTATTTTTCTAATTATTATACATAATTAATAATATATTATTTATTTTATTTTTTACTAAGTAGTGATTTTTTTTAATGGTTGAATTTTCAAACTTATAATTCAGATCGAAAATGTCAATGTCTCCAAGTGATAGCCGGTTAACATCAGATCTTTTTATAAAAATACTTGAATTCTTCCTTAACATTATAAAAACAAATCCATGCGTGTAGAGTCAGTCTGTTGTTAGCTTCCGTGCATAAAAGTTTAAAGAGGATTCTGCTGGTTTTCATCCTTCATAAAACAGGTTTATATATGTTTCACATATTTATAGTGTTTCAATTTTTTTTTCTAATAATTATTATTGATTAGATTTGATCTCATTTAATCATGATTGATTTTATGTCGCAGTGAAAAATGTGAGGAATTTATTAGTATTTTTTGTTGTTATTATTATATTAATCATTAGTATAAAGATTATTTTTTTATATTATTTATGTGGACTAATAATACTTGTAATAATAATAATTTGTTTCAAAATAAATGGGAATGATAATAAAATAATAAAATAATTCGAAAGTCGAAATCTTCTTTCATAATAAAATAAAATAATTATAATAGTGAAAGTAATATGTAATTTTATTTTTATTATTGTTTACTATTATTTTATTGAACTTGACTATTATTTCTTCTTTTTATTATTATTAAAATTATTATTATTATTAAAACTATTATTATTCTTATTATTGTTTTTTTTTAATTTTGTATTATAATTATTTTTCATTATTTTGTAAAGAAAATTAATGTTGTCATTCGTTAATTAACAATTTATTGCTTAGTCGAAAATTGTAGGTAATTTTCATGTAATTCATTTTCCTCATTGATAGAAATAATTTTTTCTTGAAAATTTCTTGAGAAAATTAATTGTTAAGAATTTTTGTTAACGCAGTGATTTTTTGAATTATTTATAGAGTTATTAAAAAAGTGCAAAAATGTTATAATTATTTTTATTAGTATTTTTTGTGTTTTTTGGTAATTAGGATAGTGAAGTGTTTATGTTAATTATGTGTAATATAACGTTGAGGGAAAGGAAGAAGTTTCATATATATCACCTTCACCTTTTTCATTCTTGTTTGATATATTGATGATCGAGGTTTTTAATCTGTCTAAATTTAGTCACATCTTTCGGTTTGTGAATTTTTGCGGAATTGTTAAATATTTATAATTATTTTATTTCCTCGAGGTGAATATTTAAAGAGTGGAAAATTACTGTGTTTGTTTTTTTTCTTTCTGAGGTACAGTTAGTTGATGTTTTGTTTGTAAAATTTAGTTCAATTTTCTATACTGCTGCTGCATTAACAGTTTTTTTAATTTTCTTTTTTTAAAATTTAGATTTTTTTCGAATTTTCAAACAAATTTTATTAACGATTTTTTTGGAGATTTTTTCTAAGATTTTTTCAAATATTTTTGTTCTTCAAAGATTTTATGAAGATTTGATATAGACTTTTTGAAGGTTTTTAAAGATTTTTTCGATTATTTTTTCAAAGTTTTTATAAAGATTTTTTGAAGGTTTTTATAAGATTTTTTTAAAGATTTTTTACGAATATTTTTTCAAAAATTTTATAAAGATTTTTTGAAGGTTTTAAAAAGATTTTTTCGAAGACTTTTGAGAAGATTTTTTCAAAAATTTAATGAAGATTTTATAAAGACTTTTTGGAGATTTTTAAAGGATTTTTTCGAAGATTTTTGCAAAGATTTTTTTAAAGATATTTTTAGAATATTTTTTCAAAGATATTATAAATATGTTATAAAGATTTCTTGAAGTTTTTTTCGTAGACTTTTTTTAAAATTTCTGCAAATGTCTTGATAAAATTAGTTGACATTTTATTTAAAAAATTTAGTTCAATTTCTTTTTGCTGCTACATTACATTTTCTCTCAATTTTTACAAGTTTTTAATTCACTTTGAATAAATTTTTATTTTTATTTGAAATAAAAATTTTTAATGTAAAATTTTCTACTGTTTTTACAGTGAAAATTTAATTTTAATTAAATTATTTCCATCCTAATTTTTAAACAATCTTTAAATCATTTTTTAAAAACTTTTCAAAAATGTTTTAAAAGAGTTGCTTGATAAATTTTTTGTAGAAACAGTTCGTTTTTATCTTAATTTGTATTTTGCAATTAATTTTAATTTTTTTTTGCCTGTAGATTTTTAATTTTTTTTTCAAAAAGTAATTTTTCATACTTTTAATCCACTTAACATTCGTTATTTTTTTTGACACGATTGAAAAATTATTACAAGAATCTTTGCTTTTACAATTGATCATTGTTTTTACTGCGATATGAAACTATTAATTATTGGGTTTTAATTACAATTCCAAATATGTGATATAATTCAGTGTTAGGATCAAAAAACTCGATTTGCGCGTCATTCAAAGTCCTCTGAGTCATTCTCTCTCTCACAGCTGAGCTATGAAAAGATAAATATTATATTAAATAATTTCCGAATAATCTTGATTCCAAAAATTGAATAATAATAATTTTTGTTTCAAATGGATTTTTTCTTGAAGAAATAATTGAATTTTATAGAATGGAAAATATTTCAAGTTAAATTAATATAAAAATTATAAATATAAAATTATGATTATAAAATTACAATAACATGAAGGAAACATTCACTTTTTTTTGCAAAATTGTTTATCATAAATAAAATATATTTAAAGTAGACTGGAAAATCACGTTGGATAGGAATAATTTTGTATTTTTTTCCTTAGATTCATGCTGCTGCTACTGACTGGAACAATTATTTGTAATCGCTGAATCATCGAGTGTCTCGCGATACAAAAATATTCGCAGAATAGAATTCGCAAAAAAAGAAGGAAGGACAAAAAATGAATCACGATGTATTATCATCGACAGCGATTGATATTAATTTCCAAAAAATTAGTTGTTCATTCAAGGAGAATTTTTTGAGGGAAAAAAAATGTGTTCTTCAGGAAGTGAGTGGAAATTTTAAATGTGGTCAATTGACGGCAATAATGGGACCATCAGGCGCTGGTAAATCGACTCTTCTCAATATTCTCACTGGATTTCAAAGAAATTTCGAAGGTAGATTAATATATCAGAGTGAGAAGGGCGAGATAAGTTATAAACATTTTAAGAAGTACTCTCGCTATATTCAGCAGGATGATGCACTGTATTCTTTTTTCACGGTTAGGGAAACGATAACAATAGCTGCTGAGTTGAAATTAGAGAGTAGTATGAGTAGAAGTGTGAAGAGAAAAATAATTGATGATATTCTTAGTTCTTTGGATTTGATGAAGACGAAAGATACGATTTGTGGTAAATTGAGTGGTGGTGAGAGAAAGAGGTTCAGTATTGCCCTTGAAATGTTAAATGATCCTCTAGTCATGTTTCTTGATGAGCCAACAACTGGTCTGGATTCATCGGCAGCAATGCAATGCGCAACTGTATTGAAGAATTTGGCGAAAAATTCGAGAACCATCGTTTGTACGATACATCAGCCGAGTACAACTATTTATGAGATGTTCGATCATGTTTATATGGTTGCTGGGGGACGATGTATTTATCAAGGTGATCCAATGATGATTGTTTCTTATTTTAGTAGTTTTGGACTCACTTGTCCTAAATATCATAATCCTGCTGATTATGCAATGGAGGTGATGTGTAATGAATATGGGGATTTTAATAGAAAATTATCTGTGGGACAGAATTCGGAGATGAAAATGCAAACGTGGAGAAAGAAGCAAGAAGAGAAGATTGAGGGACTTAAGAAGGGGAATGTTGTTAGGACAATGAATCCACCGTCGGAATTTAATAAAACGAGAGTTTTGTTGTTTAGATGTTTTTTGCGATTCTATAAGGATTGGCAATCAACTATGATACGATTTTTCATGTATTTTTTGCTTGGTGTTCTGTTTGGTATGACTTATTATGATTGTGGTTTTAATGCGGAGAAGTTCCCCTCGAATATAGGAATGTTCACGTTAATTGGTATAATTGTGTTTTATTGTAGTTTATTGCCGGCTGTGTTGAAATTACCCTTTGAATTGAGTATCCTAAGGAAGGAAAATTTAAACGATTGGTATAAAATTCGAAGTTATTATGTTGTATTTGTCATTACGAATCTTATATTTCAAGCTGGTTTTGTTGCACTGTTTACTGGTCTGGCTTATGTTTTGAGTAAACAACCAATGGAATTGTTTCGTTTTCTTATGTTTGTAACAATAATGATATTGTTTGCATTTATTGGCGAGTCTATTGGTTTAATTTTGGGTATTATATTTAAACCGGTGGCGGGAATTTTTGGTTGTATTGTCGTTGGTTCATCTCAATTGTCATTTTGTGGTTATTTTATTTATTACAATCATATGTCACCGTTTGTTTATGAATTATGTCAATTTGTTTTTACGCGCTATGTTAGTGAGGGAGTACTCAATAGTGTTTATAGATATGATCGAGAGAAACTTGATTGTCCAAGTGATGTTATTTATTGTCATTTTCGTGATCCTACTATTTTTTTGCGTGAAATTGGTCTTGATGAGCCGAAATTTATCACTGATGCGACGGTATTGGCGAGTCATGCGGCATTTTTCTTTATTGTTGGATATATTTTGTTGAAGAAAAAGGTGTCTAGTATTTGAGTGGTTTTTTTGTGAAACTTTATTTTTTTAATGACTGAAAATTTTGAACGTTTAAATAGACGAGGATATTTTTGTTACTTCCCTTTTGGTTTTTGAATTTTGTTGCAAAATGGTTTGTAAAATTTAAATCTTAAGTATAAACAAATATTTAACTCTACTTATTTTACATAATACATTTTATTATAAATTTACCATAAGTAAATGTTCAACTCACATTATTTTTCACTTGAGTATAAAAAAATCATTCGAAAATATTTAAAAAGAAAAAGAAATTCCTTTATTTGAACGTTCGAAATTTTAGGGAAACAATTTTTTTTACTTTGATTTATATTTATGCTGATTCGTTTTTTATATGTATTCATTTGTGTATATATAAAAGTAGATAGTTCTCAATAAATTGTTAATTTTTTATAATTGTAAATAGTTTTTCGTACATTATTCTAGTTAATGATTTGATATCATTAATATACTTATATAATTAATTAATTATTAAAGGAAGAATACTTATTTAATATTATATTTTATTTAATAATATAAGTATTATATTATTAATTATAATATAATATATTACACATTAGAAAATATTTGACTCTCTAAATCTGATTTCGTAAAGAATACATAATTTTTATTAAATTTCTAACTTAACTTTTTTTTGTAAAAATTAATAAAGAAATAATAGCTATAATTAGTACTAATAAATTGACCATTTGTTAATTAAAAAGTAATTTAAATAAATTATAAAAGTTGTGTTATTTTTAATATGATTATGACATTAAAAAATAGTTTTAATAATTAGTTTTAACAGTTAGTTCAATAGTAAGATAGTTTTTAATAAATTGTTAATTTTTTATCTAATTTAGGGGAAAATATATTGTTTTCACAAATTATAATTCAACGATTTCATAAATAATAACATTTTTTACAGGGATTCAATTATTTTCATAAATAAATACATAATAAAACTCATCGCAATCTTTCAATTATTTTTAATTTTTAATATAAGTTTAAAGGAATTCCTCGAAAAATGTAATTATTCTTAAAAATTTTATTAAAATTCAGCAAAGAAATTCAATTATTTTAAAAACTTTGGCTACAATTTCTTTATCACAATTTAAGTATTATTTTCAATACATTTTCAATTAAATTTCTTCAAAAAATTGAATTATTTTCATAAATAATGAAATTCTTTGTAACAATCAAAATTTTTTCAAAATAATTTTCATAAAATTCTTCGTAGAAATTTAATTAATTTCAAAAATTTGTCGAAATTCAATTATTTTCAATGTCTACTATTTCAATAAAATTTCACAAAAGAATCCAAATTATTTAAAAAGAGATTTTAATAAAATTCGCCTCAAAGAATTCAATTATTTTCAAAAGTATTATAATTCTTCGCAAAAATTCAATTATGTTAAAAAATTTACAAAAATTCTCGTAAAAATTTTTATTATTTTTCTGAAACATAAAATTCCTCTCTGAAATTCAATTATTTTCAAAAATTATAACCAAATTCTTGGCTGAATTTCAATTATTTTTAATACAATTTTCGTCAAATTTCTCGAAAAATGAAATTATTCTTAAAAATTTTATTAAAATTTGTCAAGAGTATTAAATTATTTAAAAATTTTGTTGATGAAATTCTTTATGAAAATTCAATTTTAAGAAACATTCAATTATTTAATAAAATATTTATTTTTGTCGTTAAATAATTGAATTCTCGTAGAATTTTCTAATAAATATTGATTTAAAAATTAATTTCAGTTAAAATTTTAGATTATAATTGAATATTGAAAGCATTATAGCGTGGATTTTTAGAAATAATTGAATTTTCAAAAGGTTTCAAATTAAAATCTTTGAAAATTTGAACTTTTCATACTTTTAATTAAGAATTCTGTAGAATTATTATTTTTTAAAAAGTTTATTGGAATTTTTTTAATTATTCAAAGTTTTTAATTTCTAATATATTTAATTGAGGAATTTTTAGAATAATCGAAATTTCATAAAATTAAATTGTGAACAAAAGAATTTGAAAATTCTCAAGGAACCTGGAAAAATTCCATTTTTTAACGTGGAAAAGCTGGAAAACTCAGGGAATTTGAAAAGAGCAAAAGCGTGGCAACCCTGAATAACCAACTTATTATTAATTACTAATTTTTATTGTACTTTTGAATTGTTCTATAAAAATTAGTAAAAACTAAAAAGTAATTAATTTACTGACAAACTGACTAATATTATACTAATGAAGAAAATAAATATTATTACTTGTATTATTTTAATTAGGATTATCACTAAAAAATCGAATAATAAAAATTGATAATTTTCAATAAATTGTTAAATTTTCATAATATTGTAAATAATATTTTCCTATCATTATTTTTGTGACTATTACTTATTTTTAATATTAATTGGTATTATTTACCATTTTGGAAAATATTTTGATCTCTAAATATGATTTTCTATAAAAATAACTATGAAACTGATTTAGTTTTTTTTTATGGAAATTAGTAAAAAGAAAATCGACTGAAAAATATTAATTTAATCCAAATAAACGATTACTTGATAAATAGAGTATTACAAAATCAAATAAATATTTATCTATAAGTCATAGGTTATTGGAATCAAATAAATTTTTTCTTTCAGTGTATAAATTATTTTAATAAATTCTTTTAAATATATATTTTTACTGGTTTTATTTATAAACGAAGTGAAGTGAAGGAAAAACGACAGATGCAATCTTCAAAATAATTTATTAAAAATGTCGCATACTTGATATTCGAAGAATCGATAATATTTTAATACGTTAATAGTATAATCTTATCAGTAACTATGCGTGTCGTGTGAGCATGTTTTTTTTGGTGATCTGTAAGTTAACATTTAGAGTACAATTTTTTTTTTTTTGTACTTCGATGAGAAGTTATTTTTATCCATTTTTCTTTTTTTCCAGTTAAAAGAAACAATCGTATATTTAGTATAGAACACAGAATCCGAAAGACAAAAATTCGAGTATTTTTTGTTTCTTTCTAAAATCATTTACACACACACAAATTCACATTTCGGAACATTGTTTATATTATTTATTTATTTATATATTTTATAACTACGAAATTTCCAAAGTACAATAATAATTCTATATTTAGGTATTTAATCGGTAAATCTCTATACAAAATCGGGATGAATTTCCAAAAAGTATCGACCCTGTTAAATTTTTTTTGTTTATTTTCACGTGTGTCAATAGCATATTTAGAAAAATATCCTGCATTTTATTTTTCGTACCCTCTGTTGTCTTGGAACAATTGCGATTTTTTTTTGTCTCCCATAATTTGTCTATTTATAGTATTTACAGTTGCAAAAATAAAAGACGTACAATATTTACGCGGTATTTTTACCTTGTTTTTACATAATAATTATGATAATTTAATGTATGAGAAATAAAATTTGATTGGAAATTACAATTTAGGGGGAAATGCATTGTAATTAATAGTAAATGATTTTTTTTTTCTTTTAAACTTTGGTTTTGAAGAAAGAAATTTTTTTTTCTTTCAGGTTTCTGAAAATTTTTTTATTCAATTCTTTAAAGATAATCGAATTTAGAAAAAATTAATTAAATAATTGAAAATTAATTGAAAGTCTGAGAAATTGAATTGAAAATAATTAAATTTGTTAAAGAATTTTATTCGAGATTAAAAGAAATCTAATTTTTAAAGAATTTTAATTTAATTGGTAAGTAATGGAATTTATTGAATTTAAACAAAGAGTAAAAATCGATTATGTTTGTTAGTGTAAAAAGCAACTTTAAAAATAATTTAAATAATGTAAAGTAATAATTAATTAAACATTTAAAATAATTTTATTTCGCTCGAGTTAAATAAAAATTTAAATAGAAAAATATTTTTTTCTAAATCGTTGATTAAAATTGTGAATTTCATCAACAATTTGAAAAATAAAATTTTTGTGCTAACCCTACAATTGTTAATTAAATTTAAATTATTTTTCAATTCAATATAGTTATTTTTGAAAAATATTTATTTAAAAAAAATTTCCTTCATTTGATTTCTGAAAATTTCGCTGAAATAGAAAATAAAAAATTTCTTCGTCCGAAACAGTTTTCTCTACATGTGGAATTTTTTTTTCCTCCCGATTTTCCCCCTAAATTTAAAAATATACACGAAGGTAAAATTTCGTAAATTCAACTTTTATGTAAATTTTTTTTTCGTTTATATTTATTTCCATGTAAAATACATTCGAAGAGTATTCTTTCAGGTAAAGAAAATTAACCACAAAGGGTTTTTTTTCTATTTTGAAATTTTATAGCTTTTTAAAAAACAAAACGTGCTATATGGCTTATGGTTTTTTTTCAAAAAGTAAAACGACATGTGCGTTTTTTTTCATGAAAAATTACATATGTATCTTGTGTTGTCATAATTTGCATGTGTGTGTGTGTGAGTGCATAAAGTTAAGTAAGAGCTTTTGCTGCCTGTTTTATTGTCAGTTTTCACCTGACCTCGCGCCTAACAACACAATTCAGTTGGTCTCGTTAAAATAATACATTATCTCGTTTCTCGCCCTGGCAGTTGTAATTAATTTCAACTTTTTTTTTTTTTGTAGTATTTCGTTATCTATTTTGTCGTTTTTGTGTATGAAGCGAGTTTCTTTTTTTTTTTGTTACTTTTTGAAGATGAGGATAATAATATATGCAAGGGGGCGAAATGTAAAATGAAAATAAGAAAAAATTCTGTATTGTACATGCACGAATGATTAATTCATTGTAACATTAATTATCCGTGGATATTTTATATGAGAATAAAAACATCCTTATTTACACATTTCTCTTAATCGGAGCAAATACGAATATCATTTGCAATAATGAGATTCGTCTATAAAAGTATCGATAAAAAAAAGGAGAGATATAACGGAAATTTTTTAACATCGTTAAACTTAAAATTCATTTTGTTTTTGATATTATTTATTATCGTTTGATAATTTTTTTCTTTTTCACAATTTTTTACTTTTAATAAATTTTTGTTTTCAAGTTTTCTTTTTCTAAGTTTTTATTTATCTGTTTTCATTTTTTAGTTTTTATTTTTTTTTTTATTATCTAGGTTTTATTTGTAATGACTTTTTATTTTTAACAGTTTCTTTATTTGTAATAATTTTTTCGTTTTTAAATTTTTAATAATTTGTTAGTTTTAATAGTTTTAATAGTTTTTTTTTGTTTTCTTTTTAAAGAAATAAAATTGCGTAA